TCAAGTTGTACACTTAAAATAGGTAAATAACATGGTGTGTGAATTCTATCTCAATAGAGTTATTACCAAAAACAAAGCAAAACATGCCTGGTCCATTCCATTTTCTTTCTCCAGTAGAAGCCGTACTGCTCATCCCTCTGCCCCACTGCTGGAGCTGCAAAATAGCCTCATCCTCTGAGCCTGCTTTCCACGGTCTCCCTGGAACCCGGTCCAGATTTGGAAGGGGCATGAGAGGAGCTGCACCCACCTTCTGCTTGGTAGTACACCTCGCCGGCAAAATGGGCAATGCCAAATCTTGCATCGTGGATGTTCTTGGGCTGTAGGAAGGCCTTGTTGTTGGTGTGGACACTGTTCAGTTTTTGCAGCATGGTGAGATCTGTCCCCTGGAAGAACGCAGACACCCTATGGGTTGAGGTCCCAGAGTCCAGCCATGGGGAGGTCAGGCTCCAGGGCTTCCTCATGGAGGCAAAGCAATCTGGGCTCAGAATGATTGAGGGCCTCTGTATAGATGGGAAACTAATGCCCAGGGGTCAGTGATTCATTGCAGGGAGTGAGGGCTGAGCTGGGAGCAGTGCTGGGTCTGCCACCCTCCACCACCAGCTCTTCTGCTCCACTCTCTGAACTACTGTCTGAGGACCCCAGCCGTCAGAGAAGTGGGCCTTGGAGAGGAGGGTCTGTCTGGTTCGGCTGGGGCTCTTTTGCTTATTCCTGGCAGAGGTTTCAGTGACTCTCAGAACATGCGGCCCACCCGAGTGGAGTTTCCCGGCCTCCAAGAGGAGACCCATAGCAGAGCCTCCACCAGAAGGTCGGCAGAACACACACCTGTGGGAAGCGGCTCTCTTCGTCCAGGAGGGAGATGACGCTCATGGGCTTGAGGGCCAGCAGGTCCAGGGTGGGCCGATTGTCGGTGTAGTGGATATAGTCCCAGGAGATGTTCTCCGAGCGGTACTCCTCCTGCTCCATGGCGAACACGTGCTGCACGAAGAACTGCTGCAGGTGCTCGTTGGCGAAGTTGATGCAGAGTTGCTCGAAGCTGTGAAGGCAAGGTCACTGCCCAGGGGTGGAGCGGGGCCAGCTGAGGCCCCGCTGCAGCAGGCTGGAGCCATAGGATCACCAGCCATCTGCACACAGCCCCATACAGATATGCCCACAGATGCACACTCATTCCTGCACACCCTCTCTCCTCTGACTGCCTCCATCACCGTCACTTTCTCCACCCCACGGCAAAAAGAGAAACGAGGAGGCTCAGCATATCATCAAGTCCTCGCCTTCAGCTTCTCACAGCCGCCTGCCGGGTCCTCTGCCAGGCCTGCCCACCTGACACTGAAACAATTCTTGTGGTCTGAGTGCACACTAGCAGCCCCACCCATGAGCCTTGCTATGGAGATGAGCTTCCGGAGACCCAGCATTGACTGCCGGGCCCCCCTGCATCAACCAGGCATACGCCCTACTGCCTCCGTTCCCAGATCCTCCAACCTGCACCTCCTCCTGCATTCCCTGCCTTGGGAAATGGCCCCTCCACCTACCACCCCCGGCTCAAGTCAGAAACCGAGGAGTTTCCGTCTCTGTCCCTCCTCTCCAGTTCCCGTCAGTTGCCAAAGTCTGGCCCATGCTATCTTCAACACCTGTCCCTCCCAGGGCCAGATGCCAGTGATCCGAATCACACTTGAGCTCTTTATGCCTTAGAGAGGGCATTGGGCTAAGTTCTGCCAGTCCTGCCTCTCCCACCTGACTGCAGTGAGCAGGCCCCTGCCCTGCACCCCCGGCTGGCCCTGGGAGGGCTGAGATCCCAGCGTGCTTGCATGTGGAATGGCTTGTGTCTTGACAATCCTGGCTGTCCAAGGGGGGCCTTCTAAATCACTCCCAGATCAGACCTCACTTGGAGACAGGCCCTGGGCAGGGGCCTGCAAGGTCAGGCTAGCCCCCCGGCTCCTCACACAGGGCGCAGAGGCCTCTGCTTCCTGGAGCCAGTGGCCCGGTCTCTGTCCCATCAAGCCCTTTCAATGAGCTGGCTCAGGTAAGCTAAATTGCAAAGCCAGTGTTGCCAGCCTGCTTATCCCAGTCTTCATGGGACTCCTCTTGCTGGTGATAGTACCGCTGAGCATCACCTGGCCTGGCCTGGCCTGGCTCTGTCGCCTGGTCCCCTCACCACCTTTGTCTATCCGACCCCCAGCCTTCATCACAGTTGCACCTGGCAGCTATCTTCTGACCTGCCTCCTGGTTACAGCTCTTCAGCTTCCAGTCTGGGGTGCCAGGACACTGGGACGCCAGGTCAGAGGAGTCCTGCCTTGCCTTACCCCACAAACTAAAAAGTCAGGGATGGTCCACAAATGCATCTAGCTTCCCCCACTACCTAAGATGATAAGCCAGCCAGCTGCAGATGAATCCACGTTACTGATTTCTGTTTCAACCCCGACCTCGTGTGGTAATCCACTCTGGCTCATGAGGAGAGCAGGTGGTCCAAGAGGGGTGACACATGCCGGGCGTCAGCCTGGCTCTCAGGGACAGCTCTTAGTTGTACTGCCTTCTCTAGACGGCAGGGCACAGCAGCCACCCCATGCAGAACATGCAGACCTGTTGGGACTTGCCAGGCCTGGGTGCAGGGTAATGGCTCCCCTCCAACTTGCCCCCTTCGAGAGGAACTGGCTTATCTTCCGTTTTCTGGAAGCAGTGGGGCTGGGATCTGAGATCTTCATACCTATTGTTCTCGAAATTTTCAAAGCCAAATATGTCCAGGAGGCCGATGGCCCTCCGCACATTTTTGGGATCCTGGGCTGGTGGCGTGAAGATGGCGGCATTGATCTTCTTGACAATCCACAGGAAGAGGTGCCCATAGATGCCCTGGAGAGACACAGGGGTGGGAGAATCCTGGGCTTGCAGGCTCAGGAGGAGGTCAACTCCAAGTTCACCTGGAGAGGCCAAATGGCTTGGACCTACTGCAGATGTTATCCCTCCTTCAAAGGCAGGAAACCCGGGCCCAAGAGGCTGAGGAGTCCGTGGTCACCAGGCAGGTGACTGGCAGAGTGGGGCCCTCTGCTCCGTCCTGCCCACCACCGGCACAGCAAGGAGCAGAGCCATGGTCAACAGATGGCCATGTGAGCCCTGCTGTCGCAGCTCTGTACCTTGACAAAGGCATCCCTCCGGTCAGCAGCCTGGACGATGTTCAGGGGCCTGGTGACGAACTCCCCTCGGATGAGGATGGTGTGCTTGGTCAGACAGTCCCGGAGCTCCTGGTGCTGCACCTGGGGAGGCAGATGGGGGCTGTGTCGCACCCGTGGAGCAGGCCCTGGCCCAGCACTCTGACCCGCTTCTGCCAAGTCTTATTCCCTCTCATGATCAAGCACCTATGCCCACCTGAGGGTGGGCAGTGCCCGAGGCCAGGGCCAGGGCCCTGGGAGCTGTTAGGGAAGGATTCTCCAGCTTGGTGGGCCAAGCCCTTAGTGGGTCTCCCGGGGGCTGAGAAAGGGGCTGGCTCCCCCAGGCTGGCCTTGGAAAACCAGGGTGAGGGAGGGCTCTGAGGCCAGACCTCAGGCATGTCCCTGCTGAAATCAGTCCCGCCTGAAGGCTGAGAGTCTAAAGGAGCAAGTGAGTGTGCTGGGCCAGCCCTCCACTGGAGCTGACAAAACCCAGAGTTTCTGAGTGCCCTCGAACCAAAAGAAGAATGTTAATAGCGAAATGTACCTAATGTGATTGCTTTATGTATTTATTTCTTGCTCCTGATTCTATTCATTTTCCACCAGAACTGTCAGTGGGGGTGACATGGGGTGCTGCCATGTCGCCATTGCAGAGGTAGCCCCTCACTCAGGGCCTGCTGCCCTTCCTCTAGGCCGAGGCTGCATTTGGCCTGGGAAACAACCAGGAAGGCTAAAGGGATGGACCCCGGACTCACATTCCAGTCTCCCAGAATAGCGCAACCCCGGGAGAAGCCCTGTGGGGTGAGGGCACAGGGCAGGGCTGGTCTGATGGGTAGGTTGGGGTCCGAGTGGGGAGCGTAGGGACTGGACAGGGCGGAGGGCGAGGACGCTGAGACAGGGCCATCGACAAGCAGGAGGGGATGTGGGGAAAGGGAGGGAACATTGGTTAAAGCCAAACTGGCCATTCCGCTGCTCTGTTTGGCACTGCCCCACTCTGCGCCCGCCCTCAGGCACCTGCAGCATACAGAAGGGAGGGGTTTTTGGGAGAGGGGTGGGGGCCTGGGTAGGGTTATGAGAATCAGGTGTCAGGGGTCTGTCTGCCTAGACCTCTAGGGCCTCCCACCAAAATGGAAGCTGTGGACACAGCAGCCCTACCTCCAGTAACTTCATCACAGTGGGAAAGGCAGGCGTCTCCATCACGTCTGAGGCATCCAGGTTCTCGAAGACCGAAGCTAGAGAGAGAATCAGGAATCCTGAGTGGGAAAGCAGCCTAGAGCGATGGGAGCCAGGTCCCAACAGGCCCGGGCCCACGGTAGCCCCAGATCCACTCAAGAGAACAGCTGCCCCGGCGTGAGCCACAGCCTCTCCCAGGGTCCTGGGTCATGGTCCCCAAGACCATGGGTCATTGACACCTTAGCTGTTGGTGAACCTGGCAGACCACTTCCTCTTGAGGGGACCAGGGCCCTGGGTCGAAGGGAAGTTTGAAGAAAGGTGGGCCTATTTGGAGGGAGAAGTCTGACTTGGGAAACACGGCAGACACTGGCGCTGGAGAGATGGGCCATCAGGCCCCTCAATCCATGCTGCTGGGTGTAGAAACCCGAACATTTCATCACTCATTCAGTCACAGGAAGCAAAGCACTAATGGAGCTCCAGCTGTAAGCCAGGCCCCACTCTACTGCAACCATCTCCTGACTGGCCTCCCAGCTTCCGGTTCCTCCTCTTCAACCATTTCCAGCTTAGGACGTGCCAGGCTGGTGGGGGATGGGACCTTTGGGTCTCTTTGTTTTTGCTTTTTTTCTTTTTTAAACTGAAAAAAATTGTGACATAAAATATACAGATAAAGAAGCACATAAAACACAAAGCTGTGTTGTAAAGACTAAAGTCAGCACCATGGAACCACCGCTAAAGCCAAGTCTAGGCTCTGCCAGCACCCACAGCCCTCCGAGGTCCTCGCAGGCTGAGACTGTGTCCCTCTCCTCCGGAGGTAAGCATCCTCCCAACTTCAAACTTCCTAGCTTTTTATTTATCTTTTTGTTCCCTACATAGAGTCCCTAAACAGCTTTTAATGTGCCTGCTTTTAAATGTTATGTTAGTGGGCCAGTTGTGGTGGCTCACACCTGTAATCCCAGCACTCAGGGAGGCCAAGGCAGGATCACCTGAGGTCGGGAGTTCGAGACCAGCCTGACCAATGTGGTGAAATCCCATCTCTACTAAAAATGCAAAAATTAGCCAGGCTGTGGTGACGGGCTCCTGTAAATCCCAGCTACTCAGGAGGCTGAGTTGAGAGAATCGCTTGAACCCGGGAGGCAGAGGTTGCAGTGAGCTGAGATCCCACCACTGCACTCCAGCCTGGACAACAAAGCAAGACCCTGTCTCAAAAACAAACAAACAAACAAACGTTATGTTAGTGGATCTGTCTGCGTTCTCTTGTGCCTGCTTCACTTCCTCAGTGTCGTGTTTCTGATGCTGTCCCAGGCTCCGGTGCCCACCTCTGGTTAGCACCCACCTTTCCCCAGCTGAAGTGTGCAGTCTGGCTGATAGACGACAGATCAGCCCAGCTGTGGCTCCCCTGGAGCCAGTGTTCTCACACGGCGTGAGATGGTGGCCCAAAGCTCTTGTCTTCTATACGGACACCCTATTGCTCCAGAACAGATTCTGGAAAAGTCTTTCCTTTCCCATTGCTTTGTGAATGATCTCTCCTGAATTCTAGAACCAGCCCTAATCTCTTCAAATATTGCCTCTGCCCCTTTTTCTCTCCTTTCCTTTAGGACTCCGATGAAAGGTGTGCTCCCTCTGCCCACAGCGTCCTCCCAGTCTCCACCCTCTCTCTGACATTTCCCACCTTTGCTCTCTCCATGCCGTACTCACAGTTTCTCCTGACTTTCCGTCCAGCTCACACATTTCCTCTCCTAGACAGGCACGGAGTCCTTTAAACCATCCATTGGGTTCTTCATTTTGGTTATCGTATTTTTTTATTTTAGAATGGAATTTCTATGTGGTTCGTTTATACATCTGTAATGTCTTCAAAGTTTCCCATTCACTGTCTAAATTTTCAAGCTTGGCTGCTTCTTTTCTTGAGCAAAGTAAGCAGAACTTCTCTAGTCTGTGTCTAATAATTCCAACTTTGAAATCTTTGTGGATCGATTTCTACTGTTTATTATTTCTGCCGGTTCTTGTTCATAGTATTTCACTTCCTTGTTCCTATCTCTTCCTGGCTTTATGCTGGATGTTGTGTTTGAAAAACTACCTGCAGGAATCATTTGTAATCTAACTTGCTGGTGTTTTCTTTCAGCGAGGACTGTCAGTAACTTCCGTTAGGTGCTTGGTGTGTTCACGGGTCAGGACACCGTAATCCCCAGACCGCCCCATGCTCACAACCTGGTTTGCAAGTTCATGCATGGATTTGTTTACTCTGGCTTACCTGAACCTTAAGGGGGAAGCCCTTTGGGGTCCCAGCTAAAAGTGGGGGATGATTGGCCACAGTCTCCACCTGTGGAGAACCTTAAGCTTTGACATTTTCCCCTTCACCTCACGAGGCCTGCAAAATCACAGCTGAATTTTTTAGATGTATTTTTCCAGGCCTTGGTGGGACCACAGGACCCTTCCTGTGAGAACCCCTAGTGATGCCTTCTTGCTCCTGTCCCCTGCCCCCTCCCTTCCCAAGGGTGCGGTTGGGGCAGACCCGGCATTACCCATGAACCCCACGTTCCCCAGGTGGAGAATGGCAGCCAGCAGCTTGCTGAGGTCCCAGCTCTCAGAGTCAGAGAAATGGAGGATCTTCATGGCCGAGCGGATGTGGGCATAGTCCTTGGCGTCGTTGAGCCCCTCACAGGAAGTGCAGTTCCCCTGCGGGACAGGGAACCTCAGCTAATGGGGCCACCCCCTGCCCCACTGCCTCCATCTTGGGGCCAGCAAGGCTGAGACACTGCCCTTCACAGGCACTGGGTAGGACCGGGCAGGGTCCACGCTCAGAAACCACATACAATTCTTTTCAGAGGCAGAATCATGACACAGTAGCCACAGCAGGATCGGGCCTTGCAGCCAGCACCAGCATCTGGCCACGGTGTGACCTTGGCCAACTCACACTTCTTCTCCGATCCTCTATTTGTCGTTCGTCCCTACTCGAGCCTGCCGTGTCTCTCTGGGGCACACTGTGGGTTTGTTCCTTTAAGAAACGCTTTCCAAGGCTCGCCATGGGCCAGGCACTGTGCTGGGCATCCAGGGGGGCAGGCAGGGAGCCAGTGACCGTGCCATGGCCATTTGCCTGTTATAGGTGCCCAGAACACAGGGGCTGGGGCCAGCCCTATCGAGAGGTGGAGAAAGGCTTCCTGGAGGAGGTGCAAAGTTGGCCCCACTGTCTCTGATGACAGAGGGCAGTTTAGGTAGAGGATGATGGGAGCAAGGCCATGAGGTGGGGAGGTAGGGACAGGGCTGCGGGGAGGCTGGGGTGGGTGTTGAGAAGGGAGAGGTCGGCAGAGGGGCAGATCCTGGAGGGACTTGGAAACCACACCGAGGAGTTTGGACTTCTACCTTACAGGTCACAGGGGTCACTGCAGCAGTGCCATCCAAAGCATGACACTACAGTGCAAACCTTCCTACAGGAAGAGTGCCTTGGCTGCAGGGTGGATGACAGATTAGAGGTCGAGACTGGTAAGGGGGGCCCATGAAGTCCAGGCAAATGCTGGTGGCTGGTGAAGGCATTGGAGCAGTGGATCCAGGGGAGAGGGTTGCATGGGAGAGATCCCAGATGTGTATAAGAGACAGCCCTATTGCTCCAGAACAGATTCTGGAAAAGTCTTTCCTTTCCCATTGCTTTGTGAATGATCTCTCCTGAATTCTAGAACCAGCCCTAATCTCTTCAAATATTGCCTCTGCCCCTTTTTCTCTCCTTTCCTTTAGGACTCCGATGAAAGGTGTGCTCCCTCTGCCCACAGCGTCCTCCCAGTCTCCACCCTCTCTCTGACATTTCCCACCTTTGCTCTCTCCATGCCGTACTCACAGTTTCTCCTGACTTTCCGTCCAGCTCACACATTTCCTCTCCTAGACAGGCACGGAGTCCTTTAAACCATCCATTGGGTTCTTCATTTTGGTTATCGTATTTTTTTATTTTAGAATGGAATTTCTATGTGGTTGGTTTATACATCTGTAATGTCTTCAAAGTTTCCCATTCACTGTCTAAATTTTCAAGCTTGGCTGCTTCTTTTCTTGAGCAAAGTAAGCAGAACTTCTCTAGTCTGTGTCTAATAATTCCAACTTTGAAATCTTTGTGGATCGATTTCTACTGTTTATTATTTCTGCCGGTTCTTGTTCATAGTATTTCACTTCCTTGTTCCTATCTCTTCCTGGCTTTATGCTGGATGTTGTGTTTGAAAAACTACCTGCAGGAATCATTTGTAATCTAACTTGCTGGTGTTTTCTTTCAGCGAGGACTGTCAGTAACTTCCGTTAGGTGCTTGGTGTGTTCACGGGTCAGGACACCGTAATCCCCAGACCGCCCCATGCTCACAACCTGGTTTGCAAGTTCATGCATGGATTTGTTTACTCTGGCTTACCTGAACCTTAAGGGGGAAGCCCTTTGGGGTCCCAGCTAAAAGTGGGGGATGATTGGCCACAGTCTCCACCTGTGGAGAACCTTAAGCTTTGACATTTTCCCCTTCACCTCACGAGGCCTGCAAAATCACAGCTGAATTTTTTAGATGTATTTTTCCAGGCCTTGGTGGGACCACAGGACCCTTCCTGTGAGAACCCCTAGTGATGCCTTCTTGCTCCTGTCCCCTGCCCCCTCCCTTCCCAAGGGTGCGGTTGGGGCAGACCCGGCATTACCCATGAACCCCACGTTCCCCAGGTGGAGAATGGCAGCCAGCAGCTTGCTGAGGTCCCAGCTCTCAGAGTCAGAGAAATGGAGGATCTTCATGGCCGAGCGGATGTGGGCATAGTCCTTGGCGTCGTTGAGCCCCTCACAGGAAGTGCAGTTCCCCTGCGGGACAGGGAACCTCAGCTAATGGGGCCACCCCCTGCCCCACTGCCTCCATCTTGGGGCCAGCAAGGCTGAGACACTGCCCTTCACAGGCACTGGGTAGGACCGGGCAGGGTCCACGCTCAGAAACCACATACAATTCTTTTCAGAGGCAGAATCATGACACAGTAGCCACAGCAGGATCGGGCCTTGCAGCCAGCACCAGCATCTGGCCACGGTGTGACCTTGGCCAACTCACACTTCTTCTCCGATCCTCTATTTGTCGTTCGTCCCTACTCGAGCCTGCCGTGTCTCTCTGGGGCACACTGTGGGTTTGTTCCTTTAAGAAACGCTTTCCAAGGCTCGCCATGGGCCAGGCACTGTGCTGGGCATCCAGGGGGGCAGGCAGGGAGCCAGTGACCGTGCCATGGCCATTTGCCTGTTATAGGTGCCCAGAACACAGGGGCTGGGGCCAGCCCTATCGAGAGGTGGAGAAAGGCTTCCTGGAGGAGGTGCAAAGTTGGCCCCACTGTCTCTGATGACAGAGGGCAGTTTAGGTAGAGGATGATGGGAGCAAGGCCATGAGGTGGGGAGGTAGGGACAGGGCTGCGGGGAGGCTGGGGTGGGTGTTGAGAAGGGAGAGGTCGGCAGAGGGGCAGATCCTGGAGGGACTTGGAAACCACACCGAGGAGTTTGGACTTCTACCCTACAGGTCACAGGGGTCACTGCAGCAGTGCCATCCAAAGCATGACACTACAGTGCAAACCTTCCTACAGGAAGAGTGCCTTGGCTGCAGGGTGGATGACAGATTAGAGGTCGAGACTGGTAAGGGGGGCCCATGAAGTCCAGGCAAGTGCTGGTGGCTGGTGAAGGCATTGGAGCAGTGGATCCAGGGGAGAGGGTTGCATGGGAGAGATCCCAGAGGCAGAATGCTCTGGGTCCACTCCATGGTCAATAAACCAGGAGGTGCAGTTCCCCTGACAGCCAGGGCACCTAAGCTAATGAGCGATGGCTGTGGTGCTGCCCTGTCCTAGGTGGCAGGTGCACCTGGGAGCACAGGAAGGGCTTTGCTTTCCTGGGGCTCGGGGCTTGCGTTTTAGGGGGCCTGTAAGGACAGACCATTGGAGTGAAATCAGGAACAGGAGGCGTGTGGGCAACTCCCTGTGTGTGGCCCACTGGGCACCGGGAGCCTGTCATCCAGTGGGAACCAAAGGAAGATGAGGTCCAGCCTGGGGCATGGGGTACATGTGATGGGAAGCGGGAGGCACGCAGACAAGGTGATTCCCAGCACAGAGGGGCTGGTGAGGAGAGGGAAAGGGAACCAGCCCTGCCTCAGGGGCCTGGCCAGCATTGGGCTTCTCTGCAGCTGTCACGGAGGGTGAAGCGGCACCAGCTCTTTTTCCTCCCTTCCATTGGCTACTGGAGGCGGCAGGTGGGCAGCTCACCATGGTCAGGTAGTGGTACTCGGAGGGCGTGCCCAGGCTCAGCAGCTGCTTGTCTTCGGCACTCATCCCCATGAGCATGCAGTAGAAGATGTGGTAGTTCCGCTCCTCAGGGGCCTGGGAGGGAGAGAGGGCGTTCCAGACAGATCCGTGGGCCATTCCCCTGAGGCCTCAGGGCCTCAGACTGCCTCTGTCCAGCCCAGCCCTGGCCTCCGCTCCAAGTCTCTCAACCAGGAGCAGCTCTGGCACTGACCCAGAGCCAGCCTGGCTTGGTTGCTGTCCCTATCCTGGGCCTCCGCAGCTGTCTCATCCCTGCCCTGAGAACTCCTGTCAGGCATTTCCCTGCATCTTGACTGCTCCTCGAAGCCCTGACACTGCTGTGTCCAAAGTCCCCAGGCCAGGAGTGATGGCACAGAGTCAGGGCTCTCTTCACAGGTACTTAGTGGCCCACGAGAGATCTGACAGCCACAGGGCTCCCTAGGCCTTCGGCATTTTTAAAACTTTTTCCGAGAGAAAGTCTTGCCCTGTTACCCAAGCTAGAGTGCAGTGGTGCAATCTCAGCTCACTGCAGCCTCGAAGTCCTGGATTCAAGCCATCCTCCCACCTCAGCCTACCAAGTAGCTAAGATCACAGGCACACACCACCACGCCCAGCTAAGTTTTATATTTTTTGTAGGGATGGGGTTTTGCCATGTTGCCTAGGGTGCCTTTCATATTTTTTGAAACACTATTTATAAATGCATTCTCATAAAAGTCAAACAATCTGAAGCATATACAGTAGTGTTAAAAGATGGGAGTTTCAGTTGGGCTGTAATCCCAGCAGTTTTGGGAGGCCGAGGCGGGAGGATTACTTGAGCTCAGGAGTTTGAAAGCAGCCTGGGCAATATAGTGAGACTTCATCTCTGCAAAAAATAAGAAAATTAGCTGGACGTGGTGGTGAACACCTCTAGTCTCAGCTGCTCAAAAGGCTGAGGTGGGAGGATCACATGAGCCCAGGAGACAGAGGCGGGGGTGAGCTGAGATTGCACCCCTGCACTCCAACCTGGGTGACAGAGTGAGACCCTGTCTCAAAAAACAAAAAGATGAGAGCTCCTTTCCACCCTGCCTTCCCCTTCCTTAAATCCCCTCCTCCCCGCCCCAGAACCTACACATTTTTAAAAAAACATTTACTTATAGCGTATCTATAAATAGTTGTCTTTTCTTTCTTTCTTTCTTTCTTTTTTACACAAAACATATTTATGGTTCTGCAACTTCCTTTTTTTTCACCTAAACATATCTCCTGGTGATCCTTCACACCAACACGGACAGACCTCCTCCTCTGTAGTATAGATATGCCATAATTTTTAAATCTCCCTCTTTTCTTGGGCAGGGCTTGTTTCTCACCTGCTTTAGAAATTTCCTGCCCATTTTGGGGTACCATTTTGGGTGACAAGTTCTATGAATTCAGCAACCACTGTATCAAGAGGTAGGAGATTCTGGACAGGGCAGAGAGACTCCGCCATGTGCTGGCTCTGTGGCCCTGGACAAGGGACCTAACTTATCTGGACTCAGTTTTCTCATCTGTACAACAGGGATAAAGAGTCCTACCTCTCATGTTTGTGAAGGTCAAATGAGATAAAACAGGAAAAGTATAGCACCAGGTTGGGGAAGTCACTAAATGTGACCTTATTTCTCAGCTTGCCACAGTGCCGAGGCATGTGTCCCTCTCACACAGCCATAGCCCCTCTGTTGGTGGCGTTCTCCCCTCTGGACCCCCTCTGTGTGTGTGTGCTCATTTGCACACATGCATGTGTTAGGGGTTATGCCATCATACGAGAGCACCCCCCCACACACACACAGGTGCATTAATTCTTCTGTTGTGGGTGCCACGTGTTGGGATCCCTGCCATCGGGACTGGCTCCATGACCACCCAGTGTGAAAGGGAACCATAGGCTCTCTTGCTCAAAAGCTAGTAACAATTTCAAGGTGGCAATAGCAGAGCCTGAAACCAAGCAAGGGGCCCCCTGAGCACAGGGCCTGATGTGACAACACAGGACATGTGCCTCTGTACTTCCTGGCCACGTGGCATTTGGGATACTGTCATCTGTGTCTTTCTGCCATGGCCCCTAACACACCTAAAGATACAGCCCACCTAACTAGCCTAGTCTCAGAATTAATTCTAGTAGAGATGAGGACTGGTGGGCACCAAAGAAAGAAGAAATTTATATGAATGGAAAATTCAAAACAGAGAAAATTCTTTTTTTTTTTTTTTTTTGAGACAGAGTCTCGCTCTGTTGCCCAGGCGGGAGTGCAGTGGTGCAATCTCAGCTCACTGTGACTTTTACCTTCTAGGCTCAAGCACTTCTCATGGCTCAGCCTCCCAAGTAGCTGGGACTGACTACAGGTGTGTGCCACTGCCTAGCTAATTTTTTTTTTCGTATTTTTTTGTAGAGACAGGGTTTTGCCACGTTGGCCAGGCTGATCTCGAACTCCTGGCCTCAAGTAATCCACCTGCCTTGGCCTACCGTAAGTGCTGGGATTAGAGGCATGTGCCACTGAGCCCCGCTCAAAATGGAAAAATTTCTATCATTTGCTGTCCTGGAATAGTGGGGAAGAGCCCTCATTATCCAGTGAGGCCTGTGGGTTCTGGGAGGGCCCCTGGGGAAGAGGGGAGGAGAGGTGAGAGAGCTGAAAGGGGGCCCCTCTTGGAAACCTCCCCCATTCCCTCAACTCCCAACCTGGGCGGGTGGAGGCCTCACCTGCCGGCAGACCCGGGACTTCTCCAGGAGAAACTGCTCGATGCGTGCGCCCTCGATCACCCCGCTGGGGTTAAAATAGATGTCAATGTACTTCCCAAAGCGGCTTGAGTTGTCGTTGCGGATTGTCTTGGCGTTTCCAAAGGCTGAAGGTAAGCAGGCGATGGCCATGATGAGAGCAGAGAGGAGAAAATGTAATATGAGTGGGATCATCTAAGAGGGCTGCTCAGAGGAGGTGGCCAAGCTCGAATTGAAGAATGTGCACAGCTGCGCCAGACAGTGATGGCAGCCAAGGGCCCGCTAGGAGGAAGACAGAAACTTCGGGGAAAACCTCAGAGGTCAGAAAGCATGAAGTGCACTTGCAGACGCAGAAGTCTTGTTAGAGTGTGGGATACAGGAGGAAAGCAGTGGAAGGTAGACAGAACTAGTTAGTAGGTAGGGCCAGGTGGCACAGAGCCTTAAATGCCAGTCTCAGAAGTTGGGCAATCATTCTGCAGTGATAAGGGAAGCAGTAAAGCTTCTGAGAGAGTGTGGGAGCAGATTTGCAGCTTAGAAAGATGGCTCAGGCTGCAGGGCTGAGGCTGATATGGAGAGGCCAAGCTGGCATGGGGACTGGCAACAGCGTGTCAAGGCCAGGACACACGGAGGCAGTCAGATCAGGAGGCAGCACGTCCCAAAGTGTTTTTGTAAAGCTGTTTCTGCAAGCTCTTCTGATGTGATCCACAGTAAGAAAGATATTTTGCATTACATGCTAGTATATACACATGTCCACCTGCACACACATAGTTAGAACAAAATACTCACTACTAGTTCTTACAAAGAGTGATGTGCTGGGGTGTTCTATTCTATGATATTTGATTTGTTCTAGAACTGATTTTATGGCCCCTTAATGGTTAGGATGCAGTTTCAGAATAGCAGCATCCAGCGTAGTCCCATGAAACAGAGGAAGACGGTTCCTTGGGGAAGTAGGTTTAAGAAACACAGCACCCTGTCTCTCTTTCTCAAGGAATCTCAATGCACGGCAGAGCCTCTGAGAAGTGCCACAGTTATGAAACCTATTTAGCTTATTGAGCCCAGTGTGGCCATCATGGGGGTGACTGGTTGGGTGTCTCTTCAAGAAAGAATCTGATGCAGGCAGTTTTTTTTTTTTTTTTTTGTACTAACTGATAGGCCGATCTGAAAATGTACTATATATGGAAAGGTAAATGATCTAGAATAGCCAAGTTTGAAAAAGAAGAACAAAATTGGAGGGCACATGCTCTCTGGTTGCACCGCTTCCTATAAAGCTACAGAAATCAAGACACTGGAGCACTGGTGAAAGGATAGACAGAGAGAGGAATTGAAGAGAATAGAGAATCCAGGAACAGTCCCTTACACGGATGGTCAATTGATTTTAGACAGGGGTGCAAAGGTAAGTCGATAGAGAAAAAATAGTCTTTTTGACAAATAAGACTGGAACAATAGAGTATCTACATGCAAAACCAAAAAAAAAAAAAAAAAA